GCAGGACGGCTGGACATTAAAGAGGGTACCCAAACATTCCCACTATAGAGGATCCCTTTTCCCAACGGACTAGGGTCTTGAGAAAATGTTAAAGGCTAGGCACACCAAGCAATTGAGCTTAACTGGCTCTCTGGATTTGGATCGTTGCGATTTCAGAAATCCAGGCTTCTAAGCATTAGGGCTTTTCAGGCTTGGCCTTATCTTAGGACTTGGGCACCCTTAAGCTAACCCCTGAGCTTTTGAGGCCCTTAAGCTCTGATTGATCTGATGAAGAATACGTAAATGATAACTGCTTTATAATAACTATTTAAAGTGTTGAGACCTAAAATTAGGAATTTTACCCCCAAAACTTGACATTAAAGAGGGTCCCTAAACATACCTCCAGATCCTGAATAAGCCCCACAACTTGACATTAAACAGGGTCCCCATGCATAAGAGGGTCCAACATTACTTTCATTAGTATGAGTATTTCTACTATTACCTATTTTAGGCTATCCAGAAAGGTTTTCTTTGCAGATGCGCTGGGTGCTGGCCTTCAAGCCCAGCAAGCCATCAGTTTTTCATCAGCCTTTGACCAGGATAGTTCGGTGCTATTTTGCATGTGCTCCTGATCCGACCTGGTACGGCAGCTTGAAGCGCTCACAAAGAGATTCAGTAAAACGGATGGGGTCATTTTCTGATTAGGGTAATGCCTGATTGGAAGCCAGATGAATGTTGCAAACTCCGACCGAGTGTCATAATCAGGACCCCAGTGTAATCACCTTAGGTTTGCGCAGGTGTTTCCAAAGCGGTCGACAACGTGAAATCCAAGATTGCGCCTGCCCTCATTGGAAAGGAGATGCCTTTCTGCAAGCTTTCGCTTCGATCCATCATACCAATCTTCAGTAGTTGCTGTACATACGGCGCGATCCGTTGCCCAAGCGCATTTTGACAGGCACCACCTTCCATCCTTTCATGCTGCAACTCAAGCTGTGCAGCTCAGCCTCCGTCTCAACGCAGCAGGGGCCGCTCGCAGTGGGTCACACGTTCGCCAGACACCTTCACGCGTTCAGTTTAATGATCGGTATTTCTTGTGGTGCATCGGTGTTTGATGCTCCAATGGTCCGGGCTCCTGAAGCAAGGCTTGCTGAACAAGGCTTTGTTAGTCGTCTCCTCTATGCATGACTGTCTTTCTCCAAGCCCCAGTCAAGAATAAGGTGGCGAAGACTTAACACAGCTGACATGTCATTTCCTACAAGTAGACGCAATTATCATCTCAAAGCACACCAGGACCCAACAGATCAGAAGGGTATCGACCAGATCATGATCGACCTTGTCACTTGGCTGTCTAATGGTTTAGCGGTTTGGGTCGTCATTGTAAAGCTCCTTTTGCAAGCGGCGTTTGTGCCGAGAGTTCTAGTGGTCAATGCTTTGACCATAAGCTTGAAAAAAGGGGTTCCATGTCAGGGCATATGGTTAAAACCCTACTACCTCCTAAACCCTGAAGCCCAAACCCTAAACCTGTAAGATTCAGTTCAGCAGTGTCTTGGGCTTCAGGTCAAAGGCAGGGCTGCCGGAATTCTTGGATTTTGCTTGCAAAGCTGAGTAAGGGTTTGGGGTTTGGAGGGTTTAGGGTGTATGGTTTGTTTCTGCAGAATCGAGTGATCCGGGTACGCCTCAGATACACAAGGAGCTGATGCACACATTGAACTCATATGTTAAGGGGGTTGAAGGCTTCCTGGGCCTCGGCCTCAGGGCTCATGGTTTGGAGCCTTGTAGTTGGAGGTTGGATTGGAGGTTAACTATAGGCTGAGAGGCCTCCGTTTTGGAATGGCCGCAGTTGATGGAAGTTGTCGAAAACTTTGATGCGGATACGAAGACTTGCCGGATCTAACTGACGGTGGACTTGCTGCTAAATGTTTGTCTTCATCAACATGGTTTTCCGTTCGTACGTCATGGCTTGCAACACCTGACCAAAGCTCAAGCATCTTGGATGTCCAAGAAGCCTGTTGGCAGCACTGCTTTATGCTGGACCATGCCCGTGCCCCTTCGCCGGCTCACGAGGATGGCACCGAGAACAAGACGAATCTGGGAGCCAACGCCATCCTAGGCATGGGGATGTGAAGCATTTTGTCTCGTTCCTCCCAGGCGCATGACTGTGGACTCCTGTTGTTTGGAGGCGTCTCGATGGCCTGCTGTAGGGCGGGTGCGGCGCAGAAGGGCCTTCCGCTCTTCAAGCAGCTGGGACGCAAGACGCATGCACACCGCATACGCGCGTTCATCTTCGTTTGACTGGTCGCCATTACTCGCATGCGCATTAGGATTTGGTTGTTGCATAGGGAAGCTTCATCCTGTCTGCCATTGGAGTAGCTTTGGATAGCATGTTGCATTCAAGGATTCAAGAGGGTTTGTGAGGTTTCAGTGTCTAGTTGTTGAACAGGTGCGGGTCGTGTGGATTTTGCTCCGAGTGTGTCTGCGTGTGTACAAGCAGCATGGTGTAGCTCAGCGCGATGAAGCTTGGAAAGAGGGCAGCACTGCCCCTCAAATCCGACACGGCCGCAGCTGCCGTACCTGACGTACACAATTTTTGCATGCAGCCTCAGCAATTGTTTTGCACAAGAGGCACATCAACGAGATTGCTGGCAAGCCGCTTATGTGTATGCCTGTGCCCTGCTTCAATGTGCCTCGGCTGCTAGGGCCTGGATAGGAACTTGAACACATCGCTCTGGGGTAATTTGATGAACAAGACCCGTCCAGATTCCTTCTAAACTCGCTTTTGAGCATCCAGGTTTGAATAGCAACTGCAAGTAGTCACGTTTGAGCGTTGACGACATGAGCAATGGCGTGGAGAAGAATAGAAGGATGACAAGAAGCAGAAGAGTTTTCAATTGCGCTTCAATGTTCAAGAACGAAGTGAGGTCATCAACGGCGGCGTTCATGCCGGCAACTTCCTTGCTTTCCAGGCAAAGGGGCAGTTCGGCTGGCCTTTTTTGGAGAGAGAAGCCCCAGTGTTCAACAACAGAACTGTGGCAGTTTAGATTGTGAAAGGTTGTTTTGTTTTGCGGATGCTCATGTATTCAATAGGTCATCTGTGCAGGGCTTGCTGAGCTATTGCAACTCAGGGCGGATGGGTTCGCTGTCCTTGTATGCTCTGCAGCGGGAGCATGTTGGCTCGAGGGCATGAGGCAATGCAGCTGTGTTAGGTTAGTCTGCGAACCTCTTCAGCTCCTTGAGAGCCTATTTCCTGTGTTGTGTTTAGAGGTATAGTGCTCTGTGCAGTTGCACCCCAGCATTTGAAGCCCGCGAGCTCTTGAAAGTCGAATCCGAAGTTTTCAGGCCCTAAACCCCAAAGCCCTAAACCCTAAAGCCCCAAACCATCCTCAACACTTTTTCTAGCTTGCGATCAGGAGTTCTTCCTGATTCCGGTCGGTGCCAAGACCTTCGCAGAGGTGTGCTTGTGCCCCCTTTCCCGTCAATTTTGCAAAATGTGTACCCCTAAACGTTAGGTGCCGTAATATACTCTATTAGCGAAACGGACCCATAATTTTGAGAACAACCCAAATCTCCAGACGTGCCACGGGCGAAGGCCATGAAGCTGGGCTCGGAGACGTACCACAACCTCAAGGGCATCATCAAGAAGAAGTATGGCCCTGGCCTCACTTGAAAATAAGAGTAACAGCAATACTAAGACTAAGATTAAGGATTGTAATAACAGTAATAACAACAGCAAGAAGAGTTCGTTGTAGCAACAAAGCAAAGAAGCATTCGGAAATGCGAAAGGACGGATAAGTACCGCCAGAACCCTATACCCTGAACCCTGAACTCCAGGCAAGCCCTCAGATTTTCACGGAATGATTTCTTTTATCGCTACTATTATCCCTAAATTCAATGCCAGCCCCCCCAGATTTTGACAGAAAAGCGCAAGAGGCCTCGACTCCACAGCCGTGGGTGACGAGGGTGGTTTCGCTCCGGCGGTGGCAGATCCGGAGGAGGCAGACTTCTGCATAAATTTGCTTTTACTTAGCAGGTCTTCTACTCTCCTATAATGCAGACTTGATTCTGCAAAGTGCCAGGAGTCGCAGGGAAACTCTATGGCAGAAAGAGCCGCATGTGCCTGCCTTTAACAGCTTATTTGACAAATGGCGTGGGAATTCATATTGATCATGGAAGCGGAACCCTGTCGAGCAGGGCCACATGATAAGGATCTGATACATGGGAAGCCTGGGTATCCTCATATCACAGATCACTTGGTGTGTTTCTCGAAGCAACGCCTAGACAACCCCTAAAAGGGGTCCCAGACTCCCTTGTACTCTCCTTCTATCCTCTGGGCCATGAGACAGCTTTCCGCAGCTCTGCAGGGACTGAAGCTGCTCCTGGAAGCCATCAGCCAGGCCTTCCGGTGTGCATGGGTGACCTGTAACTTGCCACTTTTGTCATCGGTTCCAAAGCGAGGAAGACCAAAGCTAGGAAAACCATCAGACATACACGCAGACATACACTCACACTCCATGAGGAGAGGTGTTAGAAGTGGATGTTTGGCAACCTCTGAGTGCTGTCTGCTTAATCAGCTTCATGCGCTGGCCTGGGAGCCGAAAGGCAACATCCTGAAGCACATGTTCTACCATATACGTCGTGAGTTGGTGCAACAGCTGCTCTCTGCGGTTGCGCTTGGAACACTTTTTCGGATGCCTTCCAAAAGCAACTTTTTCCAGGCCGGTCACGACGGCAAGATCCTGCGCCTTGGCCTTCTTTGTTGGCTCAGAGTCTGAGAGTTCCATCATAATGCTGCTGCTATGTTTCTTGTACGCTTCTGCCTGACCACTCTGTGCATCTGAGCCCTTTGTTTTGAGACGCCTATGTACGCAAATCATGTTTCCAACGTTTCATATCTCACCGAAGTCATGTTCACCTACGCGGGCATAATCCTGTGGAGGGTTCTACATGGAAGGCTTCGCAGAAGGTCGTTAGACTGTAACCTTGTGTTCATAGAGCAGCCTAGCGAAAGCTTTTTTGCATAATTCATTGTAAGAATCTCAGCCATGTTGCAGTGAAGCTGGATTCAAACTTGCAAAGTTGCTGTTGATATGTATTGATACCCTCGACCCTGTAGCAGTCGCATACTAGGACCCTAATATAGTCACCATTATCTCTTATAGTCACTATTACACGGCAGGGGGTCAAGCTACTTGAAATGTATTGATACCCCTGACAGTTCTTCATGCTCCAGGATTGGCTCGGATCCTGCTTCCTCTGAGTTCTGGAAGGGAGATGAGCAGAAGTACGTGTCCTGGCGCATAGGATAGGTTGACTCAGAGGTACCAACCAGCACAATCTTGTAGGGAAGAGTTTTTTTGCTTTCTAACCGCTTTTCACTGTGAGGCATGTGGTGAGGCATGTGGCGGGGCATAGATAGAGGACTGGAAGGTTGTTATGCAAGTTATGTAGCGTCGCGGGGCAGAACATGTGCTGCATGACTGGTACTTGAGACTCCCAAGAAGGCCCCTTGTTCCAAAGACAGCGACATGAGAGCTTCTGCACAAAGACCTACGCTGAGGATATGGACTTCAAAAGCACCAACCCCAAGCCTGAGAACAAGAAGACCAGGGAGGAGATGGTCCCTCGACTGGCATCAAAGGACGTATGCTTTGTAACGCGAAGCTGGTGCCGTGAGGAAGGCTAGGATGCTGTTGTTTGGGCTCAGGGCTTGAAATTGTAAAGGGCTGCAGCATTGAACTGGGCCGGCTAGGACACGGAGACCGCCGCTTTTCCTATCGCATTTCTTGGAAGGGTGCTTGTTATCTTGTTCTCTCCATACACCACGACGGCCGTGAAGAGCCCTGTGGCTGGGGCAACTAAAAAGCAGGTCGACCAAAGGTAGGTGTCCGTTGCAAACAGCCCCACTCCGAAACCACTCGAGAGTGTCATGGTGTCATTTATCGTAGCAGCTCCAAGACCAAGTATCGGAGATGGGGGGCCTTGGGTTCAACATGCTGCAGAAGGGCAAGGCCATCAATCAAAGTCGTCACACCAAAGCCGTGAACTCGTTGTCGGAGGGCCCGTGGCGTTTAGAAGCTTTGCGATCTGGGGAGCAACAACATGAGCAGAGCGTTCGAGACGATGCATAGTAAAGACAGATGAGGAAAGATGCCTAAGAAAGGGTCTGGGGCAAAGGCGAGAAGCAGGATTAATTAGCAGTAGGGTTCGGGGTGCGACATGTGACTGGTCTGAGTGAGGTGGCCACCTACAAGCGTTTCTGCGACAGCTACCCCATCGCTCTGCTGGAGGACTCTTCGCATGTCATGATCCTTTGTAGAATTTTTTTGTCTCTGGCTTCCCCAGCTCACACACCTTAGCGCTGGTAGGACCCTTTTGCAGAAGAAGATTTCGAGGGCCATTCACAGCTCACAGCCTTGGTCGGCGACAAGGCACCAGGGATCCTGTTTCAAGGGTGCGGCACATACTTAGGAAAACATAAAAGGCAGGAGAAGCAGTAGCAGTAGCGGAAGATTTGGATGAGTAGAAAAACGAGCAGAGTTTGCAGTTGCAGGCTAGAGTAGAAGGGGCGGCAGCATGTCGAAGTCGACGCAGCTGGAGTAGAAGACGACCTACTTGTTGCGATTGGGGACAGGCAGAAAAGCTTTCAAGTACAGTGGGGATCTATGGAGGGCGGAAAGAGACCACACCATGTTGAATCTGTGGACATTCACATTCTGGCGTTGTTTACGTTCGACTATGCTACGGTTGAATGGTAGAACTGGGCGCCAGCCTGCTCCCAAGTTCCCATCTAGCAGCACACGTAGTGCAGTCGTAGCTGAAGGGGTAGGATCTGGTCATGACAGGCAGAAGGGTAACGACCGCCATGTGTGTTCTTGCCCCTATACCCAGGCATACCCAGGCAACAAGCTTGGCTTGACATGACTTGGTGAGACTGAGCAAGCAAAGCGCATAAGTGATCCCAGCGTCCCAGGCTCATATGACATTCCGCAGACTCGCATGTTAAAGCCCAAGTGCCGTTTATCAGCCGCAGGACCTCTTCTGACGCATCAAACCTGCTGTGCACCAACAATCTGATAATGTCTCCTTCCCTGTTGGGAGCGCCGTCCACACATAGGGACAAACATGTGTATCCACGCATGGATGCAACTTGCTGAAGATTGAACTTGAACCATACGCAAAAACAAAACATACTACTCACGATCTTCATTCCAAAAGGTCTGCCACGCACTGGATGGCCTGCTTGTAAAACTTGATGGAATGAGTACATGGGGTATGGGTGATGCTCCGCTGTGCCAGATACAAGGAATGGCCAAACACGGATGATATGGAAATGAAAATCAACATGGTGGCAAACGTGGACGAAATGACCTAGGAAGGTTTCTGTTTACGCTTTGGATGGCGCCCACGGGATTCAAATGTTGACAATATTGTTCGCAGAAATGGCGGTATCAGCAGGAGTACCCGTCGTGGCAAGCAGAATGAACACGATAGTTTTCAGGTTGCAAAAGTCACGTCATGCCAATGGCACAAGACAATAACAACAGGGGGGGGATTGAGTTTGTCCATGGAAGGCTGCAGCCTTTGAAAAACCTGAGGTGGAAATTGTTGGTGACGACCTCTACTGCACCAATGTCAAGCGCGTGCAGATGGGCTGCTTGGATGTGTCAGGAGCTGCAGCTGTTCATTTTTTATTTGTTATGAGGTTGAGGCTGGGATTGGTTGCCGGGACTTATCATTGGACATCTTTGAGAAAGCCCGTGCGCTTGCAGATCATGATTTGGTGGAGGGTATGTGGGCTTGATTTTGGGCGGATTGTTCCATCAAGGCCATAGAGGCGACGGAAGCATCAGGTTCAGGAGATCGTGACAAACTAATCACTTCAACATTCTGTCATGCTGTCCGTCATTGCATCAGAGATCCAACCTTTGTTCGTGCATGAGGAGTCCCTTTTGTATTAGCCGCTATCAATGTCAGTGGAGGCGTTTTAAACTCATATTCGGGCCCTGTCATGGCAGTTATCGGCGAATGTTCCAGGCGGGACATTACTTGCAGTGAGTTGGTTGTTTAAATGCAGTGCAGAATACATGCCGTCATTGACCGCAGAGTTCGGGACCCACTGAAAATTCTGCGGCTCAAACGAATTCGAGCAGCAACCTTGTGAAATCTTGCGCATTGAGCCTGAAGCACCTCTGCCGAAGGCTTGGACAAGAAGGCCACCAATGCCATGCTTCTGAAGGCACAAACCGGTCGGCTGCAATGTGCGGCCTTGCCTTGTGTCAGGTCTTCGGGAGGTAGCAACGCCTTTCCTTGCAATTTCAGGTAAAGGTCGCAACTGCATTAATGAATGTGCCTTGCACCTCCACTCAATAATCTGGAAAAAGTATTCATTAGTCGCACATTGCTGGCACCAGCACCCTGAACATGGGCACAGAAGTTCTCGCAGAATCGGGTCAAGCAAACGGCTTTGCATGCACGTGAAATTTGATTCACCGTGGGGCTGACAAACTGATCTGGATGGACAGTGCGGAAAATACGACTTTCCAGAGTCCGTGCCTAAAAATAGTTTGACATGGCAAGCAACACCTGGGAGTTTCTGAGAAGTTTGGGAGGTGAACCAGATTGGCAGCGTGTCAGAATCCATCGCCGCCTGGCAGCTTTGCCGGGACAACAAGTGGCTCGACCGGGTTTGAAAGGGACACGTCGTGTGAAGGCTTGGAAGCGTTTCTTTTAGCAGGCATGTTATCTTCGAAGGGTTGTGGGTTTGTCATGCCTTCAACTTGATGTTCATCTCGCAAGCCTTTGCAACTTACAGTGACCAATGGAGCTTGGTCGAAGCAGCGTGAAATTTTTGTTCAGGTTTCCCTCACTGTTTTGTGGCGTTTCTTGTTCAGTAACTCAAAACAGCCTTGCATCGGGGTCCGGGCATTGGCTGTTCAGGCTGGCCGAGGACACCATCACTGCCAGTTGCACACTTGCTTTGCTAGACATCCCCAAATTGAAGGCCGACCAGGAACCCAGTTTGATCATTCGACTGAACCGGTAAGCCAGAAATGCTCACAGAGCGAGTTTCAGCCTGGCGGTTTGGAAGCCGCAGAGGGCAGTTTAAAAACGAGTAGGCAATGGTTGTGTGTCCAATGTGAAAAGAAAACAACGAAGCTTGCCTCCCACTCTAGAGATTGATCTGTGCCAAGCAGCTTTCAGGTGGGGCGTTTTCGTGTCGCATCGATCCGGAGAGACTGAGGTCTGGGGTGATTGTGAACTTGGTGATTCGTCATTCAACGTGCATAGCTGGAAGCCGGGGTAGGTCTCTGTTTAAAGAGGCAACCACAGGAACGCTTCTGGGTGCTGATGAGTTTTCCTGTCATCCAGTTCTCTACATAGCAAGGAGGAAGATTGAACTCCACACGAGTCTGCATGCAATGGCGCCTTGAGACGTTTTGTACTTCATGTCTTGAACACTTACGAAGCCGGGATGGTTAATACAGCGCATCTGTAGCGGCACGTTTGGCTGGGTAACAGGCAGGCGCGGACATCCCGGTGGATTTCCGACCTGCTGCAGAATTGGGAACACATGGAAGCCGGAACGTATTTTCAAGCTTCTTGTGTACCAAGCTGACTTGATGTGTGCTGACACAGTCTTTCTGCATTTTGAAGAGAATCTTGATTGACGGTTGCAAAGGATATTGGGGACCAAATGAGCGGAGATCAAAACCCT